AGGCATTTGGCAAATTTTGTTAAGGTTAATTTTATTTATAATGATTCCACTAGTAAAAAAACTCATGAGTTCCTTAGTGTTACAAATGATTTAAAATTTATAGTAGCAACTATAAAAATATGTACCATAAAAGATAACTTTTTTAATGTATGTTTTAAGAGGGCAAGTCACTTTACAAAACTAGCAAGGGTGTTTAAACACCAATTATTGAGTTTTGCTTTATTTTTAACTCTTTTAATGTGGAACTAAGTGCTGAGAAGTAAGGATATTTACCAACTGTCATTTAGAAGCCTTACTGATATACAGACATAATAAATGCTAGGGATTCCCATAAAGGATTTCCATCACATCTTGGGGCTGACATAGGTGGATATTCTGCCAAGTTGTCCAGGTTCAAGGATAAAATTCAGAATGAGTTCTACTACCCCCATCAAGACAGCCCCTCTAACTTCAAAAAACATTAAATCTTCTCTTTTATCTGGGTGATAAGCCATATACTCATTACTTCTGCCAGCCAGATAAAGCCAGGATTGATGCCACTTCGACAAGTTCAAATCCAGCAGTTGACCATCAAATCTATAATAAAGTGTGGCATTGATAACCTGGAAAATGAAATGAAATTATTGGACCAACTATTAAAAGATAAGCCTTCATGGCTTGGGGTTTTATAGGTCTTTACTTTCTATATTGTGCACAGGATATATGAGTATTCTTGTTTAGTGCACATAACAAAATTTATAAAACAAAAGATCTTTCAGTATCATGTGCTCTTGTTAAAATATTTGCTTCATTTATTGTCTGTCCTACAGCAATTCTTTTTTGCCCTCTTGTTTTTCTTTTTATTTATCTTGGCAGAAGCAAAACAAACAGTAGTTTTTCTTACTGCTGCTAAACACTTGTCATAAAAAGTAATACTTTAATTTTTTATATAATGTAGATATACTTCTCCAATAATGTTAGGAAAGGTCGAAATCTCGGAAATGTTGTTGGTAGCAGTTGAAGAAACAAAATGACATGAACTGCTTTGTGTAGTAAAATGGTTCATTCATCATCTAAATTTGGGTTTTAATTGACAGAGTACTTTCAGTAATTCTAGATTTCTTTTTTTCCCCTCATAGAGCCAGATGTTATCTTATTTTGTACCTTCATAGAGCATAATTAGACAACAATGTCACAGTTGGTTTGTATCTGATACAGAATTTTTAGAAATTCATATTTTTTTTCTTATGGAAGAAGAGAATGAGTAAATGGTATCTTGATATTTTTAGGCAATTTTTAGAACTATTTTTATCTTAAGTATCTTTTGTACAAAAATACATTCAAATAAAGTGTAATGATGTGTATATGTTTGGGAGGAGATGCTTTTATAAGAGATTTGACTCTGTGCTGCTATATTTTATGATAAACAGACAAATGGCTTCCTAGAAGGGTCTGGCTCTTCACTCAGGCATTCACACGTTAGGTCTGTGATATTTAATGAAACAATTATTTTTATGCTCTTATAAAAACCAGTAAACTGAAGCACCGAATAAACAATTGAACATATTTAAAAACTACATTACTTCAGAGTACTACCCTGTATTCATGAGCACTTATCTGACTCCTCTACTTATTATCTTGAATATTACTCCAAAACAATAAAAGATTCAGATTTTTTTCCACATGGTCAATATTTACCTTGGAAATCTTGTATACACTGGGACATTCCATTTAATATTTATTCAGTTTCTAGTAATTTCTGTTCCAAAAATGCCGCCTTCTTTTTCTTTCTCCCATGCAAATAAGCATTCCAAGTCATTTTCTAGAAGACCTATATTCAGAATTTTGTAGGGTACAGGTCTCAAAGAATATCCTGATTTTTAACTCTAATTATTAGGCCTAACAGCAGTCATGGACTAGCAAAATTTTCTTTCTCAAAAAAACATTGATCAATGTTTCAAGGTCAAATGACCTACTTCGACCTTAGGAAAGGATGATTTTGATTTCACAATATTCAGAGTATGAAGGGAAATAATTAAGATATATTAGAATGCATATGTGTGAGCTATGCCAAATCCTCCTAGTACGTTAACAATGCAAATATCTGGACATGTTCGAAAGGATTTAGAAGATTGAGGTTATAGACAGGTATAAAAAGATAGGAAAAAAAAAGTCAAATCTTTCTAAAGCATCCTTGATGTATCTCCAAATCAAACTACATACCATTGGTAGGAAATATATATATTAGTAGGAAATATATATGTCTATATATGCAATTAAATTATCATTAGGTTACCTTAATTTGGTTAATTGTAAATAGCATGTTTTTGGTACATAAGTATTAAAGAATATTGTCACTGGGTTGCTTTTAAATAGAATAAAAAGAGCAATTGCCATAGACTTGTGTTTTACTATAAGGACACACCAGATGTAAAAAAGAAGTCAAAACACAGTGTGTACTGTCTCTATACATCAGTGTAGCTACTGTACGGAAGGGTCAAAAGCCAAGTATGTTATGCAGAGCAAATACAGACACCGCAAATCATAAACATCTAAAATTTTAGTGTCCTTTAAATCACTCATTTATAGTACCCCACCCTTCAACACCAACACCTGACATGATAACCTTTTGTCATCATGTTTTTGAATTTACTGTGAAATTTGGCTTAACCAATCTTTTATCCACATATATGCATATATATATTCTAAAATGTATTCAATAGGGCAACAATAATCTCCTATGGGATTTAATCGTATGATTTATTTTCTTACTTAAATTTTAGTTTAAGTTCATATTTCATTCTATTCAGTAGAATTTCTCTAACTGTTGAGCCACTTTTCACAGTCAAGGGGACTTGTATGCTGGATCTAACTCAGGATGAAGGAAAGTTTGGAGTCAGCAGAAACAGAGATCTGTAAGCACAAACCAAGTAGAGAAGGGAGGATTTTTCTCCCTCTTGATTTATACAACTCTTCTTTGTACCAGCATATGCCTCATACTCCTCCGTGGGTTGGTTGGTTGGTTGCTTGTTGTTTGCTTTGTGATCTACAGCTTGGGAATATATTAAGACATCTGATACTGAAAAGCTTGACAAATTACAGCCAACATGTGTTACCCATTTTTTTATGATCTTTTCCACACACAGTAAAAGCAAATGTGAATCATTTTCCTACCAAGGAAAGTGGGGAACGTAGGGAATAAGGGAGGAAAAAGTTGATAGAGAATTGGCAATCAAAATACAGAGGCAAGACTCTTGTGTGATCTCATTCATTTGCTATCCCATTCTTTCTAGTTCTCTGACCTACTTTGCTAGTAATGATTGGTTTTTCACAGCTGGAGATTACAAAACCCTGGTGTGAGGTCCAGTTTGCAGAGTTAAGTGTGAGTATAAAATAGCCCATCCGTTAGGAGCTGAAGTTTGCTCTACTTTGGCCAACCCTCGTTTCACCTACGGGTGGCAGATTTCAAGGGTCACTAATAAGAGGTGTATATTTTCACTTTGCTTTACAAAAAGACAGAAGTCATTAACATATTATAGTAAAATATTAGGAGCGTGCCATGGTGCCAATAACCCACAAGTGATTTTTTTTACTTGGACCAGTGTATGTTTTCAAGTACCTTTAGTGTATAACCACTATATTAGCACTGCTATCTCTTCAAGCACCTTTAGTGCATTACCACTAAATTAGTATTGCTATCTCTTGGTATGCATCCATCTGTTCACAACAAATTATTTACTTGTACTTCTTTAAACTCTGCAATCTGCATTTGGAAAAAGATAGTCAGCTTTTCCAAAAGGATGAAAGAAAACATGAATTTAGAAGGTTTCTATAATAGCAGTAACTTGATATTTTGAAACTCCACATGGTCACAATTTGCAGTCTTTCACATAACAGTAAAATTAGAGCCTTCCCGCAATAATGAACTGATATTCTTAATCATATATTATATAAATCATGAGTGATCAAGTGCAGGAGTCAGGTCTTGTCAACTGTGTACCCATGTTAAAATCAGTGTTTAATGCATAGTAGGTCTTTAATAATTATTGTTGAATAGAACTGAATTTGCTGACACTCAGCACCAAAAATGATTTTTCATCTTGGGTAGTTTAGAATACTCTTGCATTTGAGGGTCATACTTTGTCTGCCCAGAAGAATTATATGAGATGGTGAATAAATTATATTGAAATTTTCTTTGAAGCAGAATTAAATTTACTTCACAAAAGGGTGACTTTTATGAGAGGGGAAAATTTACCACAGCATCTTCAAATATATAGATCCAAAACTCAAGTCAACTAATGAAACAGGACCCCATAGAGATTGATGCTGTGACTGAAAAATACTGTAATATTTTCTGTCTCAGAAAGTACAAAATCAAATTACCTTCAAGTTTCTCACATTTGAGCCACGCTACAAATGAGTTGTGTCCAGGTACAGAAAAACCAACAATATTTTATTTATAATCTTATTTTTAGCTTTTGAACTACAAATTCTGATTCTAGAGTTGTTTAAAAGATCATGGGTTTTATAGATGTGTGTAAATTAATCTGTTGCTTGCTTTTTTTTTTGTTCTTTTCCATTGATTGGTCCTCATCATAAATACAACAGGTCATTACATGAAAAATATAAGATCTTGCATTATTTTCCTTGCTCTTTTTTAAAAATCTATTTCTAATATTGCATTCCCCATTGGACTAGTTTATAAGGTCATGAAGGGGGAAACAAAAGAAAAGAGGAAAAAAAAAGAAAGACAAAATAGACTGGATCTCACCACTAGAATTCACCATAAAAATCTCAAAGTGTAACAGAATTCTTACAAAATTTCCTAGACCAGTTTCTTAGGGAATTGAGATCTATGAAAAATATGGCAATTGGGGAAGGCAGAGACGAGATGTGGGAAAATAAGTGCAGCAAAAACAGGTTCTGAGGAATACACATCATTTTGTCTGCTTTAGATCACAATAGAATTTTTAATAAATAAATTTCTTTTCTTTTTTGTTTTTTTTGTAAAGACACTTTTTTGAAACAGTGGATTTAGCCCAGTCATTTGTGTCATTTTAATAAACTGTCTTTTGATGGTTTGTGTTCTGTAACTCTGTAAATGTTTTAGATTTGAGTCTCTTGTACATTGTCTTTAGAGTTCATTCGGATCAATAACGGTTCATGCACTGAACTGTGTATTGAATTTATTGTGTTAACTGTTGTTGTGTGGTTGAAGGGAGATTTGTAAGAGTTATAGTGATTTAGGTGCTCATGCTCGATAGCAGGCATGGGCAGGTGGCTTTCCATGGGTGTGTCTCCTGTGATCTCATCATCCACATTAATGATTTCAACAGTCCTTGTTGGGGCATGATGGTTTTGCCTATGGTGCTGCTTCCTCATCTTGTAGAAAATGACCAGCATCACTGCAGCCATGAGTGTGATGGCCACAAAACAGCCAATGATGATTTTGGTAGTCTTCATGACCTCATCAATTCCTGGGATCCCACTGTTCATATCAGTCACTGGGATGGTGAATGTTTTTTCTGTTGACCTTGTGCTCTGTGGCGTGAGAGAGGTGGTCACATTGGTGGTTTCCCAGTCAATCACTGGAGTGGGCCCCACGTTGTTATCTGTGGTCCGTGCCTCATCCTGAGAAGGTTCCATAGTCTCTACTGTGACGGTTGAAAAGTAAGTAAAAGGAGTGGTGGTTGCTGCAGTAACATTCAGGGTGGCTGAAGCAGTGGTATTTCCAACAGAATTACTCACCATACATGTGTACATGCCTGTATCTTGCAGGGTTACATTTGTGAAATTTAATGTACCATCGCTGAGCACAGCTATCCTCACTTTGTATGCCCCATGTGTCATGACTGTTCCATTGGGAGTAATCCATGATACAGAGGTCAGAGATGTGGAGGCCCGACATTTCAGCTCAGCTGCCATGCCTTCAGTGACATTGAGGTCTGCTGGAGGCTCCACAATCACAGGAGCATAGCATGTGAAATAATTCTGGTCGAGCTCCCCAATGTACCTCCCTTTCAAGTTGGGAGGAGTGTTACATCGGGCACAACAAGCTGTGTTGGAGGGGGCCATGTCTTTTATCCACCAGCTGAGCCACAGTATGTCACAGTTACAGTTCCACGGGTTGTGATGTAAGTGTATCCGCTCTAGGTGATGCAAGGGTGTGAAGAGATCATGAGGCAGTAATGTGAGATTGTTGTGTGCCAGGTTGATCTCCACTAGTGACTGAAGGTTATCAAAGGCATTCCTTTCAATCACTTGAATCTGGGATTGTATCATCCACAGTTTTTGAAGGTGCATCAGCCCCTGGAAAGAGCCAGGCCTGATGGCAGACAAGTGATTCCCAGAAAGGTCCAGCTCATCTAGTTTTATGAGCGGTGTGAGGTTAGGGATTTCCCGAAGGTTGCACATGGCAAGGTTCAAATACCTCAAGTTGGACAGACCTTCAAAGGCACCTTCTGAGATGTATGAAAGCCTTTTCAGTTCCCCTAAGTCTAGCCGGCGCAAAGAAGGGATTCTGTTAAAAGCATAAGAAGGGATGCTTTCAATGGGGTTGTTGCGCAACCAGAGCTCCTTCAGTTTAGACAAATATACAAAAGCTCCATTCGGGATGGTAGTGAGACGATTGTCAAAGAGTTCCAGAGTGTTGAGGTTCGCCAGACCATTGAAGGCCCCAATTTCAATTGTTCTAATATGATTCCTACTCAACTGGAGGATTTCAAGGTGCCTCAAGTGCTTGAAGCTGTTCACTTTGATGATCTGGATTTGGTTCTCATGGAGGTTCAACAGCCGAGTGTTGGTGGAAATGCCATCAGGAACCTCGCGTAGGTTTTTCCGAACACAAATCACCTTGCTGAACTGGTTACTGCAGGAGCAGACGGAAGGGCAGGTTTGCGCCCGCACCAGACCAGCCACCACAAGAAGTTGAAGAGCCAGCAGCACCACAAGCAGGGGGTCAAATAGGGCCCTGTTAAACCTAGGACCTATCATTATCTGCTGTGGATGTAAGGTCATCTTGTTCAACATTCATAATTTATCTGGTATTGGTCCTTCTGGAGTTCAAATAGTCTGCAATACAATAAGAGCAAAAAAAAAGAGTATTAGGTCTCTTCCAAAATGTCTTTCTGGGACAATGTAAGTGATATAGTGTATCTCAGTGAAAGCCATCATTTCTCAGACAAGGAAAACAACATATCTAATATCCCTTATTGAGTAATGAGTCTCATATTTTTAGAAAAATGTCTCTTTCCTTCAAATTAGCAGCCTACCACAGCCCACATTCCATCAGATGTACAATCACAGAGAAATGGAAGCATGAGGAGGAGGACCCTAATAGAGTAATAACCAACCAGTGTTTCCTGAATGCATGAGGACTTACGAGATGTACCTCACCATTAGATTCATTGTCCTGACCCGACTGGAAAAGTTCAGAAAATAGAATATGGGCGGCAGGGGGAGGGGGGGAGTGCTCTACCCACCAAACTAAAAGTTTCCTTGCAAAATTAGTGATGGCTGACATTTTGTTTGGATGTAGTCTATGTACCAGGCTCCATGGGCTGTAGACTTCACGAACAATCCTATCCAGGAATGGCTGCATAATTTGCAGGCCTCTGTGCAAAATGACAATGTGATATGGCTTATTAATAATAATTAAGAATTTCAAATCAGTAACAACAGAACATTAAGCCAAGTGTGGACCCTTTTGAGAACTGGGCCCTATGCGATCACAATCTTTTCTAATCCTGCATTCCTCTGACATAGGGACTGTTATATTCTCATGATGAAGAAATTTATCATAAAAGTAACATGCATAAATTCACATGGTAAATAACTACAGAGCCAGGGCTCAGTTGTTCATCTGATCAGTCCAGGAGCATATGATCTCAAATACTCTACAGAAAGGTTGCTGTGAGAATGAAGGCCATATACAGGGTCTGGTACACATAATGCCCCCTTTTTATGACAAAATATTTTATTACAAATTCATAAGTGTGTAATTTTGCAAAATAACAATATCACACTCAAGTATACCATGTGACATTTTAGGTTAATTGTTCAAATTAAAACAATATATTATTACATCTATGTTATAACCCTACCAACCACACTCAAGCAGGTGTTACTTCCGCTGGACCCTGTATATATGCTTTATAATTAAATTTTTTAAAATATCTTTCCTTTGGAGTGAGCAGTAAACATTGGGAACTGCACTTATGGTACCTATGAAGATACATTAAAATAGTGGCATGCACAAATGTACATACATTTCTAGAGATTCTCATATACAAAAACTCATGATATAGGAGACTGCTGCCTATAGGCAGATATACCACAAATTAATCATTTCCCATAAAGCATGTTTTTATTTTACAGAAAGGACTTTAGTATAACAGGACTATAATATGTCTTGTGTCCCTACTCTTACTGATTTTCAGAGAAACAAAATAATTCACTTTCTGTATCTCTGCCAGTGCAAGGAGGCATTCCAAAGGAATTTGGGTTACCCAGTACATACCCCACTTCACTGGCTTACCATGGACTGAGCTCCTGTGACATGACTCCTCCCAGATCTCTCATTCTCTCATCTCAATAAACAGTGACTTGTCTATGAATCTCTTGGAAAGAACAAGACAGGGGGAAGGGAGGAGGAGCTGACCACATTCCAATTCAAAAGTACTTACTACACATTGCCTTGGGGAAGTTAACTTATCCTCTCCCTGGTTCAATCTCCCCCCTTGCAAAAAGGAAATGATAATATTAAATTCCCCTTAGTGTTGTGGTGAGGACAAAATTAGTTCATGTAGAGGAAGGGCTTAGAATAATGCCTCCCACACTGTAGAAACTCAATAAATGTTAGACATTATTGTTATTATTATTACTGTTTTTGTTGTTGCCCTTAGCCAGGCATTTTACTAAGTACTGGGCATACAAAATAAAAGAACATAAACCTCACCCCCAAGCAAATTATAATTCAAAAGATGAACTATAGGCAAACAGATGAAGTGCAATAGTAAACACATGCTATAGGTTTTTGAGACCAGGCCATGTTGACACAAGGGCACTGATGTCAGAGCAACTCTGTTTGTGTTGGTAAATTTGGAATTTTTAAAAGGAAAGGTTATCTGATCTCTGTTTTGTGGAAGGAGGTGGTCAAGAAAGAAAAGGAGAGCATTTTAGACAGAGAGACCAGCCTAAGTCAAGATAAGGACACGGTATCTCCAGGGAACAGTGGCAAGTTCCCTGTGGCAGTGGAACAGAGAAGCCTGAGGAAGGGAATGGGAAGGAAACTGGGGCAATTTCAGGTCTAGACTGTCAAGAGCTATGTCCAACTTAGGGATCACTGATTTGTCTTGTAGGTGACACGTTCTGTTTTTAGAATGGAATGCTATCATCAGCTTTGTTTTTAAGAAGGGTGATGTTGGATGAAGAGAGGAAAGAAAAAGCTCTGTAAGAAACCAGTAGAAAGGAGAACAATTAAAATGATCTTCCTATTGTTCCAAGTGAGCCTTGGAGAAAAGTCACTGCCAGAAACAAGTCCAGTTTCTTGGCCATAGATTCCACGTCCCCCAACCAAGGGCTGGAGGTGAGAAGGGCTGACTCTTCTTCAGGATATATTTTTTTCTTCTGGTGGTGAAGGTTTCAATGTAAATTAGCATTTCTAAATAACTGCATTTCCATAGAGTACACAAGCTGGAGAAGAGGCTTTTTTTTTTTTCCAAAATAGAAGATGCCTTACTGTGAAAAGATAGATGTCATTAGCAATCATTAAACCTATATTCACATTCACAAAACTACTGAAAGGGAACAGAGTCTTAAGAAGGTGAAGTGTAAAGTCATGCAATGCTTTCTGACTTCAGAGGCTTATTTATACCTCCTTCAAGATGGAAACAAAGTTGACTAATAGGTTTTGAGTTAGTATTTCTTTTCTCACCAGGCCGATGACCTTGCTTCCTTCCCTGGGGCTATTGTGGCTCTAGTTTGACCTTCACACCATCCAGTACCACGAGCATTCATTCCTGGGTCTGTTTCCTGCCCTAGCCTATGAACTCCGTGAGGGCTGTGGCCATGACTGTTGGAGTCTTCCTGTCCTGATGCCAAAAAAAAAAAAAAAACCAACTAGGCATGCTATAGGCACTAAATAAAATGGCTGTGGAAAATGTGTAAAAGTTAATATCTAATGAAAACTCCTTGCACATGTGTATGTGATATGTACCAATGTATTATTCATGCCTGAAAACCAACCGATCTGAACACCATACCCTAACATGTCCTTTACTGGGTCTCTTAGGTCACTTATACTCAAGGCAATATCCCTCTGCCTTAATCATTCTAGGGCTAGACACCAGGCAACTAGAGATAGCTCCTATGTCCAGCACTCATTGAAATTGTTCATATTAACCAATCCTAAGGCTGTTTACCTTGTCTTCCCTCAAAAAAACACAGTAAAGTCTCTTCCTCATATCTTTCCCTTGCTTCTGGCCAACCTTGGTGCTTCCTCATGTGGCCCTTGGGTCAAGGCATGCCCTCTTCTCTTGGGAATTGTGAGTAAAAAACAAACAACAATAGCAGCAACATCTTTATAATGGTAATTGTCTCTTGATCTGTTGGCCTCACTATACCTGAATAATAATAAAATCTACAACTTAGAACAACTAATTGTTAACTACTAGGGACCCAGTCATCATACTACTCCTTTGATGGCTTTATAATACTGTCCTTGGTAGGTTTCCCTCCCTGAGATAGAGCCTTCATTGTAAATTTAAACATGATCTTAAAAACTCCTTCAGGTTTATATTTAAAAAAATAATGCTATTTAAATTCCCAGTAATCATGACCATCAAAAAATTTTCTTTTGTGTGACTTGGTGTCCTTTTCTATATATTCCCCTTCCCCCAACACACACTTCTTAAGGTAATTGGGAATAAAAAAAAAGTCACATAAAATCCATGACACATTAACAGATTGATGTTTTTGAGAATGGGGCCCTGAGGCCCTGCTCGTCCACTTCTGTGCCCACCTCCCGCCCCATGACACTCATCAGAATCCTTGGGTCTCTGGCAACACAGGTTGAATAACTGATTGACTGGAAAAAGCACAGAAGTGAAGAAGGTAAGTCCTCACTCTGCCATTTGCTACTTTTTCCCTCTTTAAAAAATGAAACAGCAAAAAGAGTTATGTCCAGTGACCAAGTGTCTGGTGTGAGACTTGCTGATTTCATGTGCCTGTTGGAACCTCTATGACCTTATGATTGAAAAACTTCACCTGTTTATACCTCACTTTCCCCATATGGGAAAGGGAAACTACAGTGTTATCCACTCAAAATACTTTATTCAGGGCTGTCACATAATATACGTAATATTACTGGCTCATAATAAGCAATATGCAGGGCCTGAGACAAATGATGCCCCTTTTTTATTACAAAATCTTTTATTACAAAATCATAAGCATGTAATTCTGTAACATACAAATATCACACTCAAGCACTCTGTGTGAAATTTTAGGTGAAATGTTCAAATTAAAACTATAAATTATGACACCCATATTATTACCCTCCCAACCACACTGAAGCAAGCCTTACTTCGGCTGGACCTTGTATAATAAATATTTAATGCACATGAAAAATAAAATGATGGGCTATTCAGTTTCTTTTTCTCATATGAAATAGGTGTTATAATACTATCTATCATTCTAAGTTGTGAGGATTAACTGGCATGATCAGGAACATGCTATCAATAAAACATATGCAAACATGATCCATCACTATTAATTGTAGAGTATATATGCCCGTCCTTTTTAAACTCCAGGTTCTTTTATTTTCTACTTCTTGCTTACTTCAGGATCTTTTTTGCTATTGCAATTAATGAGATTTCCCATAAATCAGTTATAAGTAAGAGTTTATGAATTATAACTGGTTCAAAGCTGATTTATAACCTATAGGAAATAATGCTTGGTACATGCACTGAATTGAATAAACTACCATCAACACAAGGTTTTCTAGTTTAAAATCTAAATTATGTTACTTTACATCAAAAGCCAGGTTTCAACATCTCTTTCATAAGATGTTTTTA